TGCGGTGCAGCGGCGCGCTTTGGCTGGCAACCCTTAGTTAAGTCGGCGCTGTCGATCTGTATGTACGGGCGTTCTGCGACAGCAGGCCAGATAACACGACAGCAGCAGCAGCGGCGGCGGCATTTCACGGCACGCGGGTGCTGTGTGTGGGTGCCCTGCAGTGTGTGCTTTATTTGTTTGTTTAATTTTTTTTCCTTCATCTACTTTTTTACTCTAAAAAAAAACAAATTATTCAGCTAATCGGACAACGATCGCATGACCACGTTCACCCCAGTTTGACCCTCGATACCCCGGAGAGCTGCGATTGTCACTATTAACTGTTATAACTCATCTCGCTGCCTGATCTTTGCGGCGAGACTTCAAGGTGCAGGTCTCTGGAGAAATCGTCAAATGAACTTTTGGGCGGTAGTTGTGATGCTGGTGTGCGTAAAGGCAGGGGACTGCGATAAACGGAGTGCAATAAACATACGAGTCAGAGTGGAATAGTACACGGGAAAAGTGCATATTATTATTACCATTGTAATTGTAATTGTAATTATTATTATTATTATTTCGTTGAGGACCCATTTGCAAGTATGTATTTTACGCGAGTGCCGGCTTTGCTTTAGCGATAAGCGAAATCAGTACGAGAGGGACACGTGCCTCGTTGTTGTGTTGCCGTTCCGAGTTTTGCAAGACGACGAACCAATCCGGGAGCTTTTCGAGCTCGACGGGCGGAAGGAGGAAAAGCGCGCGAACGACGGCCGTCGGCGGATCTTGGTGAGTACACGTGTTCCGAAGCGACGTCCGTGCTTCATTTTTGTACAGAGATTTTTTTTTCTTCTGATGCTGCGTCACGTGGCAGATGATTATTTTTTAAGGGCGGGCTTTAAATGCTATGGCTACGTTGAACTTAATTTTTCCCTACCAAGGGATTGAGCTTTTTGGGATGGTGGATTTATCGCAAACCACCCCTAACGATACATCAATCGCTGGCAGTGTCCAAAGGTCAACAATATTAATTTTTTATCATCTCCTATCACGCAAAGTCAGACTCTGTGTGTAATGTGTCGATTCGTAGGTATATATTTAACACCTTGTTTGAAACGAGCATACTTTTTAATTTTCTTTTTTTTTTTTTACTGACCGCAACATCACTACTTTTACATTGAATTCCGTAAAAACTGACACCGCTGATCCTATTTCCCGATTAGCCCCTCGCTCCATTAACCGCGCGTGTAAGCTCGTTCCCAGTCTCGGCCGTCGAACTGCTAACATGTATTTTTCGCGTCAGCGGTGACGGAGAACGCAGCACTCGAGTCTAATTAATCGCGAATTACCAGAACGGAAAAATAAAAGAAAAAAAAAAAAAAAAAAAAAAAAAAAAACCATTGAGTAGGGGTAAAAACGGAAGCAAGGAGAAAATTCACCCTCCGAGATTTTTTGCTCTCGAGAGCTTGCGAGCAAGCCCTCCTCGTCGGCCAAACGCCTCTGTTGGCTTTGATCTTTGAAAAACCAAACGAACGCGCTTGCCTCGAACACCTGTGTAAAAAAAAAAAAAAAAAAAAAGGAGAGGGAAAAAAAAAAATCTCGGTGCCGCGGGTGTGATTGTGTATATATACACGCTCGCAAGTGGCCAGCGGCGGCGGTGGGCGTTTGTGTTTTGCACCCGCGGCAGTCTACCGTGCCACCCCCTTCCTGCCCTCCTCTTTTCCAGACGCGTCGAACCGTCGCCGCGTGTATACCTACGTTTGTGTGTGTTCAACACCGAGACGGGAATGTCGTTTTAGCATGGAAATGCTCGCGCCCCGCGACAGCGTTAATTTTTCATTGTCACTGCGAGAGACTCGGCAAAGGACGAGCTTAAGTTTTAGCGGCTCGTGCGGGGTGAAAAGGGAATTTCTTGCACCATAAGGTAATCGATCGATGCTCTGATTTTGGGAAAAAGTTTTTTTTTTCTTTTGGAAAATTTAGTTTACGTATGTTATACATATGTATGTTTTATAAGGAAGGAATTATCTTGCAGGTACAATTAGATCATTTTAAAGCTTCGTAACAAATGCTTTCTCGTGTTTTTACGTTGTCAGACATTGTGAGCAGACGTAGATGCAAATCGTGAAATTCCAGTCTGTTTTTACCGTTGTAACAGGTCTTTTTTTTTTTTTTTACAATAATTTTTCAACTATAGCGAATCATAAATTTTTATCATACTTTCGTGCATCAGGATTTTTTTTTACGTAAAAATTTGACTAAATTATACTAAAAGTATCGTAAAATGCTCGACTACTTGAAACCCAAAGTATGAAAAATAACTTGCTCCGACGACACATTTACGAAACATAAGGTAAAATATGTTATGCAGAAATCTTTACTTTATTGAATCGATTCGCATTGCTTTGATAAGAATTTCATTGAAATTATAAATTTACTTCCATCGCTTCGATTGTATCTGTAAATTAATTACAATCCCCTCCGTCCAACTATTGAGCGCTTCTTTCGGCATTAGTTTATTTTCAATGAGCTTGTATTTTCCTTTGAATACGTCAAAGGACATTTTTCCCCTCAACTAACTACGGTACCTCAAAGAAACCATCGACGAAAGGCATTTTCTGGTCTCCGTAAACAAGTTGATCCCGTTACGAAAGAGACACTTTGAAAAATGAAAAACGAGAGACAACTTCGAGGAGAACTGGTCGCGGTCGGTATAAACGCACACACGTACGTAAGCGGCGCGTTAATCGAACCGCAATCCGATTCGAATCGACTCGGTTAAACATCGTAAACGATGTAATCTGTGCATATGAGAAAAAAAAAATCGCTTATATTTTTACCGCTTCGGGAATTTATGTGATCAAATTCTTTGAGACCATATTATATTTATGCAACTTAAACTTTTTTTAAATTTATTTATTTATTTTTTTTAATTTTTGCTGCACCAACTACGAATGAGTTGACAAAAAGTAAACCAGTCGCGTCACCAAAATTGGTTGCCATTCAACAAAGAACGAAACGATGTAAACGACACTTGTCAACGGGATATCGGAAAGCTCACCGCAAGCTCGTTAGTGTAAATGTATTCTTTCTGCAGTGGAATAAGCTCAGCATCTCTGTAAGAATAATTCGACAGCTCGTCCCGGCGCCTCGTCTTTCGGATTCCCGGTCTTCTATACTTTTGTCGGCGTAATCCGAGGTAATCCCTCCCTCGGTAGAGCTTTTCTTCGTCTCGAGATTCATGCAGTCGAGTCTTTTTTTTTTTTTTTTTTTTTTTTTTTTTTTTTTTTTTTTTTCTTCTC